CCCTTAGATTGTAAAAAAAAAAAAAAAAAAAAGACAACACAGCCATAGCCATCGGTGTGAGTGCCCTGTCTTGAACCATAACTATACAGGTCATATAACAGAGTTTCAGCTTATTGATCATGTCACATAATAAAGTTGTGTCTGATTAGTTAATTTTTGGTACCAGAAATCCTTATATACAAGTATAAGCACCTGGTTTTTTTTAAAAGTCACTCATACCTATTTTTTGTCAGATCGGCAAAAAATATATTTTTTGGTGTGCCGCAGAGTTTTAGTAATTGGTTCATTAAGATGGGAAATGTTGAAAATCACGGGGCAGGTAGCATATGTCAAGAATGACAAGTTTATCCAGGCAGCTGTCTGTGTTCTGCGGAACAGACTATCTTGTCCTAAAAACAGTCCCTGCTTCCTCAAGAGCGCCATCTTCCAGAAGTGATCGCAAGAGGGGACTTGGAGGGAGCCGTCCAACTTTGACCCAATAAGACAGACTGAGCTATACTTTCCTCCAAAACCAGGACCCCAGGAGAGTCACAAGCTGATCCCCTGGCCACTGATTTTGTTTCTGCCTGACACATCCACTCATTAAACCTCACTTTCATCTATTAAAAAAGAATTTCCAGTGCCTTAGACAGAAAATCCCTGATCCTGAGAAATAACAGAAAATGTAAAGTACTTGGAGAGGACAGGGTGGGGTAGGAATGGTGGCGAAGGCCCAGGAATCAGCACTGCACAGCCCAAGTTCTGGGTACCTGGAGTGTGACAAGCAGAAAGATGGTAGCTGTGATGCACAGGCAGGATGCCAAAAGCTTCCTCCTCTGAATCCGCACCATGCCGCCCTGCCCTGGGTGACTGACAGAGGGTGAGCCTGGTTACCAGGTGTTCTCCTGTCGGCCCATAGCCCGAGACCACTTCACGTGGAGGAACCATCTGCATGCCAATTTCCTCCACTGCCACTCCTGCTGGGACCTGGTCTCCATGACGGACTGAGATCCGAGGTTCCGAGGGGACCTGGCATGGCATTGAGAGGGAACAGCATGCAATCTTCTTAAGCTATCATCAGAGCAGCTGGAGATTCTTCAGACCAGAAGGCAACAAAAAACTCTGTAATAAATGAATCATCTTTTACCCACAGTACAGACTTAATAAATGTAGTCTTTCAGGGTTATCACGTAAAAACCCAAAACTTTAAAGCTAAAAGGAACCTTTGAAATCATGAAGTCCTCACTCATAGACAAGGAGACCAAGCCCAGAGAGGTGAAGCAACTTGCTCAAGGTCATACAGCCCTTTGGAGCACAGTGACAGATCTACAATCAGCTCTCTTGAGTCTAAAATTCACTTTTCACTTAATTTTCTCTGCCGCTAGAAGATTGAATTCCAGAAGCCATTTATATGTAGTCCCTTCCTTCTGTCTAGGTTTCAAAAGAGTAGAGAAGTGGAGTAGAAATCACCAGGACTACGCACTATCCACCCACTCCTGTAAAAATTAGGGAAATAAATAAATAAATAAATAAATAAATAAATAGTTCAGGCGTTTATCAAAAACAGGTAATGATCCATTGGCCCCAACTCCTCCCAAGGAAAACAACTTCAGCCACAACATAAAGAATTATAATTGCCCGGCTGGCGTGGCTCAGCAGTTTAGCATTGACCTATAACCCAGGAGATCGAGGTTCAGTTCCCAGTCAGGGCACATGCCTAGGTTGTGGGCTCAACCCCGAATAGGGGGTGTGCAGGAGGCAGCAGATCAATGACTCTCTCATCATTGATATTTCTATCTCTCTCTCTTCCTCTCCCCCGCCCGAAATCAATAAAGACATATTTTTTAAAAAAAAGAATTATGATTATTGATTTGTTTCATTTGTATGGCACATGCAATAAAGCAAGGGGTTATATGAGCAATGTGAATCTCTGGAGTTCTGAATTAAAAGTTACATCTACCTGAAATGAATAATATTTTCCAAAGTTTTGAAAATGAATGAAGTCCCACAGAATGTCTTTTATCCCTGGGGTTCTATAAAGTCAAACGTCTGGGGCAAATGACACTGTGGAGTTCAGGACAGAGCAAGGATCACACTTCCTCTACAACGTGGAGCGGTGCTTTAAAGTGCTCCAAAGGTCTGATTCTAAGGTCCGATTGTACATCTCTCAGCTAGAGAATTAAAGATATAATTAGGCACCTAAAAATGATGTTGAATTCAGGTTAAAAACCTTGATCTGAAAGGTGTGCTCCCCTCTAATGGATCTACCTTGATTTACTTAAGTCCAGGATATTTTTTTTCCTCTCAGCAACAAAATGACTCTTAGTGTCAGAAATGGCAGAATTCTGTCATCCACGGAATTCCCGTGGCTGACAGTGACTAAGAGGATGAGCTCTAGACTCAGTCTGCAGGATTCAAGTCTCAACTCCACAGCTGGCTTAACCTAGCTTCTCTATAACTGAATTTCCAAAATGTAGATAATGCTACCTAATCCAAGAGTTATTGTGACAATTATATAAGATGATAAAACACTGTTTCAGAATTTGGTACATAAATGTCCAATGACTCTTTGCTATCTTGTTTTTAAATATTATTATAATTTTATTATTATATCTTTAAGTGAGAAATGAAATCATATAAAGTATGTTGCTGCCGATCAACTGGAACATCGAAATGAGAAATACTCACTTTGCCAAAAAAGAGACATCACGAGGCCCTTCCTAAGTACCCAGCATGCATGAGCTTATCCAGTCCTCCCAACTCTATGAAGTAGCAATTATATCCTCAGTTTGAAAGGTAAGAAAATGGAATTTGAAGGAAGTAAAGTAACTTACTCAAGATTAACCTTTAAAAGACGGCATTTAAAAGACAGCATCATACAAACTCCATATATTTTCCAGGATCGACTGTACAAATAATGGTTTCTTTCCTTTCACCTGTAAAAAAGAACGTATATGCTTAGGTTTCTGAGTATTTAAGTACTACAACCGGAAACCAGCCAGACTCTGAAGTTCATGTATTCTTTTATATTTTTCAACACTAAGGCTACAAAATTCCTACCAGATAATACCAACACACTCACGGGTTATCTTCCTGAATCATGGGGGGGGGAACGACACAACAACACTGCATGGAATAGCTCTGTCAACTGGTATAACAGAGAGAAAGAAGTACTAAAAATCTTTAAGAACCTGAAAAGCACCTCTCCTGCTACTGAGCAGGCTTAGTAGCTATTAACTACATAAAAGGTGGAGCTAGCACTTTGGGTTCCAATCCTGGCTCTGTCATTTTTTTTTAAATATGTTTTTATTGATTTCTGAGAGGGAGCAAGAGATAGAAATATCCATGACGAGAGAGTCATTGATCGGCTGCCTCCTGCACATCCCCCTGTGCCCTTACCTGGCCGGGAATCGAACCATGACCTCCTGGCTCATAGGTCAATGCTCAACCACTGAGCCACGCCAGCCAGGCCTGGCTCTGTCATTTCGCATAACATAAATTTAGACAAGTTACTAAATCTTTCTTAAGTCTCTGTTTATTCATAGTAAACAATAAATGTTAACTATCATTATTTCCCTTGCATAACAGAAAGATCAAAAGCACTTTATTACAGCTACAATGAATGCAACTCAAATTAGGTAATGACATAATATTACCACCTTAAGTAGGTATAAAACTACATCATTTTAAAAAGATTTTTAGATATATCACTCCCCTCAACCTTACTGATAGCCATTTTGTAAAGTAAGCAAGGTAGGTATTATTCTCAGTTCCCACAAAAAAGGAAACCATGCCTCGGCAAGTTTAAGTGATTTGTCCAAGATTATAGTTTCTAAAGGTTGAAGTGGGTCTGAAAATCAGGTCACCTGACTGTGAGATCAGTGGAAAAGAAAGAGATAGGAGAACCAGTGTCAGTTGTTAAGAGTACAAAGGAGCCAGGAATGAAACAAAACAAGATGGAGAGAAAATGTGAGGACAAAGCTTGGGATGTTATTACAGCTACTACGGAGCTCAGGCCTACCCTAGGGGCTTTTAAAGTCTTTACATGGCTGTATGAACTATGACAGAAGAATTTAAGGTTACAAATTCCCTTCCATCCAAAGAATCTCAATTGAGGTTATATACCCAAAGCCGTAAGTATAGTGGGGTCTGGGGGACAAAGCTGTGGTTAAATACCCACTACTAAAGAATAGAGCCAGCTAGTGTAGGTGGTATTATGACTGACAGCATGCAGCCATGAACCAGGCCTTGGGGCATATCAACCTAATACATGGTATTAATTACCCAGGTGCTTGTCATCAAGTCAGCAGTCCCCCAACTGGTAGGACAGATGGGCTTGCAGAGGGCACCGTGAAGGCCAATGAGCTCCAATGCAATGGGACTCCAAGAGGAAAGCTCCCTTCTGTCTCATCACTGCACGCAGGGTGACTCGCAGAGTCCTACAAGAGCGCGCCTCAGAACACTCCTTCCCCGGGATGGAGCAATACATGTTTGTTCAGACAACCATGGTAGACAACACGTGAAGTGGATTCTCACTAGCCAACGCTCTTTACCGTGGAGCTGAGCTCCTAAAAATGCATTGTGCAGCTGGTGTGCACTGCCTGGGGCCGGCCATCTGCTGCCCAGAGAGGGATCTGGAATTGAAAGTGACTACCTCCTATCCTACAAGTGCTGTTCCATCCAAACCAGCAACACTTTCACCCTAAAATAATTTCAAATGTCCCCACTTTATTTTTAATTAAATAAATTTTGAATTAAATGCACAGAAGAGAGACTGATTATCTTACAGCAGTTTAGCAGCCTGAGGATGCCAGCTTCAAATTTCAGCCATGAGGGCCAGTCCAAGGTAGGTTAAGGGTCTCAGAATGGGACTAAGAGATGATTTCTGCCCTGCACCTCTGAGTGTAGAATGAGAATCCAACCCTAGGTGATGCAAGGGAGTTTCCTACCCTGGCAGTTTGTGTGTCTGCTGGAGGAAAGAAGTGAGGCAGGAACACAGAGCTCTGAGAAGAATCCTTTGATCTCTCTCCTCTAGTAACAGCTGAGTTAGTTAGGATAGTAAGTAACTGTCATAACTGAGCATAAGGTTCTACCAGGGAGTCTTTAGAAGGAATGTATCTAACTACCTAACTTATTTACACTAAAATATAATTTCTTAAGTAGGTTTGACTCTCCCAAAATACGTTTTCATTTTATGATGTATAAATCCTCAGAACCCCCCTCAAATGGTGGCTGTCTGGGAAGACAGATGATGTGGTAGGCTTGATGGAAAGGTCTAAGGGCCTTCAGACAACTCTCCAGGCACTTTTTAACTACTGCACTTCAGCTGTATTTGTCCTCAACAACACTTCTCATTGATTCCTACTTGGTTACTCCAGAAAGATAACTTACGTTCCCACTAGTCTGACCCCTTGCACTCTCCACTTAGCTGTAGAGTTGCTTCTGGAATGTAGATTGGCTCTCTCTCCTCTGATTAAAATTCTTCAAAGGCTTCCCAAAGATTTCAAGATACCCATGAATCTCGTTAGCTTAGAAAACACAACCTGGAACCCACTCCATTTCTCTGGCTTCCTTCCCTTTTTCTTGACCATACCTGCCCTTTGTTCCTGCTATTTTTGTAATGGAGCGTCCTGTTCAGTGCTCTGGTCCCTACCTACAACACCCATACCTCTTTTACTGCCCTAGCCCTTCTCCAAGACTTTCAAGGCTGCCCACTTTGGAAATCCTTACCCTCCCCAACACCAAGTCTGGAGATCGAGATCCATGTCATTGTGTGCTTGTTTCTATTACAGCAGTGGACAGATGCAGGAAGCTGGGGGACTTTAGGACACTTTCTAAAGCTGCTTTATTGGGGGCCTATAAAATACTTGTTCAACATTTAAAAGTTGACCTATTTTGTTGATCTGCAGAAGACCTCCTTGATGCTGCAACTGTCCCTTGGGCACCTGACAAATGTGTGTGATGGTTGCACAGTTTTCACTCTCACCCAGTTTTCTTTATTAACATGTATTTGTGTTCATGTGTCCCTCAGTCTTTTGTAATGGACCTCATATTTTGCTGAGCATTTATTTTTATGTAAAGAGTGCTTTGGGTTGCAGATTTCCATCTGGGAAGGTCATCCTCTTCAGCCAAGCACACATTTCAGGCAAGACAAATAGGGAATAATGAGAGAGAAGGGGATACCGGCGGCCACATGAATCAAGCAAGACAGGTGATTAACAGGGAGGGACAGAAGTTGTAGCCCAAACACCTTCACATTTCCATTGCAGAACTGAAGGTGCTGCCATCTCAAATTCTAGACACACAGCCAAGCACTCAAATTATGCAGAACTAACACAATCTCACTTAGTGGATCTATTTAATATAGGAACTAAATAAAAATATATACCCACACCAAAAAAAAAGACCGGTATAAATCCCCAAATAGAAGTATTCAAAAGGACTGGATGTTTTAAATGAAGTAATGAGGTAGGGGCACAGACTGAAGGTTCTGTATCATGGAAAAAACTGGGTCAGTCCTTGGAGACCAGGACTCTTTCTCATCTTTTTCCTTGTAAGGTCTTCTCAGTTGCTGTTCTTTCTCCAGTAAGGGCTTATTGGTTACCCTGTAAGTTTTCGTAGGTGGCAGATCTGAATTAAAATATCTCATCTGCTTCGATCATTTAAGCAATCACGAATGAGGGACTGGTTAAATAACACTGACAAAATGTGGCGAATACTTCACATGCCTACAGACAAAGGGCTAGACGAGATGATCGTCTGGGTTTTCATCCCGAAATTAAGCTCTCTGGTCCCATAAATGGTGTGTGTGCAGGAGCAAAACTCTCCACAGAAGAAAGATTGATCAAGCAAAGAGACATTAATCAAGACAACGTGCGTCAACATAAACTAATTCTGGAAATATGAAACAAGAAATATTTCTACATAACAAGTTTAGGACCACTTGATATTCATTCTTCTTTTTAGTAATTCAGCATTACTTTTGAAAACTCAAGTTTTATTCTCAAAGAAATAAATATCTTTAAAACATTGTAAATAAAATGTTTTTTATTTTTATTTTTAAAAACTCACGTTCAGGAACTACAACAAATGTTTAATGTAGAATGCTGATAACTGAATTAGGTATTGCATGCCTTACTGAAATCAACTCTACATTTCAAATTTAGAAGGCATTTAAATGTGTTGAAAATGTCTGCATAATGAACAACACTTATAGATAAATCAGTAACATTATATTTTGTCCAAACTATTTTTTATTTCCTAAATTTAACCAGTTTAAATTTTTTTTTCAAAAATGTCCTGTTTGTAAGATAAAACTTAAAAATGTACTACTTTTTTAAACTGAAGAGTAGAAGATGAGCCATAATAAACACCAGCAGTTGAGACTGTATTTAATTCACTGTTAGACACTGCCATCTAGCAGGAAGCCAGCAGACGAAGGGTTACTACAGCAATTTCAAAAATGGAAGGGACTGAATGATCCCCTGATGCTACCATGTGACACTGCCTCTGGCTTGCAAAACTGAGGCCAGGGTGCTGTCCAGATGGGTGGTTCAGCCGATCTGCTGTGCAAATACCTGGGCTTCTTATTCAGGCACATGGCCAGGCCCCACCTGAAACCGTCCATCTGCGAGACCACAGAGAAACCATGCCCTAGCTGTAGTGTGATGTCACTAGCAAGCCCAAGATTGGTCATGAACTTCACCGGTGTCTCAGTTTGAGAGAATGTTTAAGGGAAATGGGGTCCTGAAGACCAACTTGCCATATTCCAAATGGTGCCCAGCCCGGGCGTATTTAATGCATTCCACAAATGAAATTAACAATCCAAGTCACCACTTATGCAACATTCTAGTCAACTATTTCGGGGAGCTGAT